ACCAAATTTTGTCAGTGAAAATCCAGAAACTTATACAGGTGCTTCTCCTACCTTTGAGATCCTTTGAGAACGACCAATAAATGCAGCAAATTGTCTTCCCAAGAATGATCCAAAACATGTTTGTTTGATTAAAGTTAGTAGCAAAGTAATATATTTTAGCTGAAACAAATGTTTATATACACTTATTCCAACAGCTGATTTTTTCTCTCCTGCCGTGGTACTAGTGATAGCCAGTTTTGTCTCATTTATTTGACTACACAGCACTCATTCTACTCACTTTAGAAGCCAACAAGAAAAAATGTGTACTGAATCTCACTTCCTGCCACAAACTGGCTCATTAGAGTATCAGAGCTCTGCTTTCTGAGCTTTAGTACTTTCCTCAGAACAAAACCAAACAGACGCAGGAGAAGCTGGTTTCTCTTGTGTGTTGTTTTGAAGGATCTCTGCATCCTGGTAGCTAAGCCCAGAATTGCTCTTCTGTTTGCATTAGATCCTGTGCTAAGATGACAGCTCAGTATTGTGTACATTATGCACAATTAATGTATACTCACATTTACAGTGACAGCAGAAAGCAGTGGTAGAGCACTTTAAAAAAAACAACCAACCAAAGCTTGAATATTAAACATACAGAATATAAAAGGGAAACCTACTTGTACATTTTTAAAAAATAGGTTGACAAACCACTTGAGAAACACACCGAAGTAAGAGGGAATTTTATTTTTTTTGTGCCTAAAATTAGGGATACCTTCAATCTATTACGATATAGCAGCCTCTCCCCTCCCCCCCCAAAAAAAAAAAACCCACCCCAAACAATAAAAACAATGAAATGTATTAGAGAGGATAAAAAAGACACCATTGTTCTGTGATGAAAAGCATGGTGAGTCCAGTTTTTGAGATGTGAAAAACAGAGTGAGCATGAAAAGCACAGTAAAATTTGAGCAGATACAGAGAAAAAGCATTTAATGTGATCATGGGGATGAAGCAGGCTGGCTGTGGAGAAGAAACCAGCAAGACTTCAATGCCTTAATTTGGAAAAGACTGAAGAAAGATAAACTCAAGGCTTACAAAATCAATGAGTAGCCAATAAAACAGAGAAGCATTACTCAGGAAATCTTGCAATGCTTGTACTCACAGGCATCTGGTAAATATGGGAAGAGTGATTTAAAACTTATTAAAGAGAGATGATTATATGTGCACCAGCCAGTTACTTCTTCCAGGACTTGCTAATGAATAGCAGTGGTGTAGGACAGAGCACTAAAATGGCACCTGTGGTGCTAAGATGCTCTGAACTCTGACTGGAGTAATTCATGGAGCTCAAAGTGGGTCAGACCAAAGGTACTGCAGTCCTAATAACCTGCCCCAGTAATGGTTAGTCAGAGATGACTGGAAAGACACTGCGAGGTAACTATGGATGATCCTTCCTTCCACCTAATACTAACAGATAGTTGGAAATCAAACCAACCACTGAATTGCAAAGCCAGTGCTGACCCTATTCCTCATCACTTTTTCTGTCAAAAGCATCCCATGACAATGAACTCCACAATTCAGCATGCCAAGGACAGGACTTCACTTTGTAAAAGACTCTAAACCTTTTGCTTAGGACTGCTTTGGCCCATAGTCAGTCTGAAAGAACTTCCTAGTGTGTCACCTGCAAAAGCTATGCTCATGGTAATAAATCCTAGAGAATACATTTTCTAATGTCAACCATCAGAATATTCAGTGTGTTCTTGCATTATCCTTGTGCTGAATTACTTGTAGGGGAATTTGAAGGCATGTATAATTAATACAAGATGTACATATGTTTATGTAGTGTCTGAGTTCTGCTTGGTGTTGAAAGGTTTGCGAGAAGTAAATCATTACTTGTCATAAAGAGATTTATTTTACTTTTCAAGAGCCAGTCTGGAGGGTTAATTTGATCATTTCTCCAGTGCAGAAATACAGACTATTTTGTTTTCACACTCTCAACTTCGCTGCTCCTGCTGGTATGACAAGCACTGAAGCTCCACCATGGTATCACTGCATGCATCAAAGCCACGTAAGACCAGGTAGGACAGGTAAACTGCAAGGAAGAGACCTCAAAATTTAGCAGCGTTGATACAGTATAAATATGGGAATAGAGTCACAGAATCAGAATATCCTGAGTTGGCTTGTTCTCAGATACTAACAAAGCAGCAGTATTAAATATGATTCCAAATATACACATATTTTTGGTACGAATACTGCGGGGATCAGCTTCATCAATTACAGAATTCTTTCTCATTCCACACCAAGAGCTGAATAAACTACAAAGCCAGAGGAAAGGAATTGCACTGGTCATGCTACACGAATTAAAGATGTTATTATAAAGAGGATCATATTGCAATTGCAAAATATTTCCTAATTTATTTTCTAGCATTCTTTTTTTGCAGATGCTTATTACAGTAAAGATCAAAACAAGGAATGCAAATTTAGGATGAAAGCAAGCTTAATGTGAACTATATGTACGCACAGCAGGCAGCACGACAATTAACTTGTTCACAAACAAATCTCTTGCCTGCACGTGCCATCAGTTCAGATCTTCACCAAAAGAAAAAAAAAAATACATAAAGGAATAGGATAAACTGTGGCATAAATAGCTTGAAACTGCTTCAGGTGACCTTGATGCTTTTTATTTTGTCCACTGACCTTCAGAAGGAGGCTAACAGACATCCACTGTTTATGTTCCACTGAAGCTGATTAGTTGTATGTGGACATATAAATATCAGAAGGCTAACACAATGTAGCTCTTCAGGGACATAACAATATTTACTGGCAGCACATTTTTTCATGTAAATAACCAGATTTATACACACAGGCACAAATGAGAGAAAATTATCAACAAATGTTAGAAGCTAATACAGCAGCTGACTAATGCCAAAAGCAGGGAACCGCCATGTGACTGGCTTTTGTGAATAGAGGGGGAAGGAAAAATGATTGTATTCCCTTAGAATTACACGTTCTTTCTTCATTACTCACCCATATTTTTTATTTCCCACAGCATCCATTCATTTTTCATAGTATTTTTTAGATTTCCTACACACTGAGCAGTTGAAATGTGCTGCTGTATTGTTTGAGACTGTCAGAGAAATAATACGGTAGCAGTGACAAAAGAAAAGAAAGAATTAATTGTTTTTCTTGAAAAGGGACATAACTGCTGTGGCTGCTGTAAAAAACCACAATAGATATCAGGAGAAGCAGCTTCATACTAAACCTCCAGATAAGCCAGTGTGACAAATCCACCTCCTGTGCTCGTTTTTAATTCATTCATTTTATACTGATACATGAGGTAATTTTTCTGGCATAAAAGCCCAGAAGACATATTACAAAGAAAACCTTTTAACAGAGGCTGGGTGCTGTAATAAGAGCCACAAGATTTCCACTTGGCCTTCCTCACTGAAAATCAAGTCAGAAGAAGCACTGAATTGTGGTGGTCTTGGATCCTCGGTTGTGCCCTTTGTGCAACAGTGATGAAGAGAAAATCTTTGTGTGGGATTGTGGTAAAACCATCTGGATAAGCAGGGGAACCTTTTGGCAAATGCAAACAATGCAAATGCAAACAAAACCAAATCACAATAAATAGCCTCAGACAATTTTGGGCTTCTAAGCGAAATTTTGCATACAAGTCAATTCCTGCCCTTTTATTGTTGAAACAAAGGAAGAACAAAACAAAAACATTTACACTGACAACATGCAGTGGCGTCACTGAACCAGCATCCCTATCATCCCCCTCATGTTTGCACAGGCTTATTTTCTTCCAGGACCAGCTTTCCCACAATATCAGATTCTGAGGGCTCCATGCCACACACCCAGTCACCTTCCTCTGGGCACATCAGCAAACAGCAGCACCACATGGCAGGTTTTGTACAAACAAGAGAAAATCAGAATAAAACACATTGAGCAGCAATGCAGGAATAGGCATCTCCAAAGCTCACGTGCAGAAGGGATTAAGGAGGTGTTTCACCTTTCCAAAACCCTGCATCTTTAACGCTCTCAGGCGCTCTGTGCTCAGCAGGTGATGATGTTACGGGCTGTACCAAAGGGTACAAAGACTCGCTCGCTTCCCTGGACCTTATTGGTTGTACGAGTGCCTTAATTCTGCTGGGAAACCAAGGTGTGGCAACAGCCCACAGCACGGGGCTGGAAGCTGGGATCTTTAAGGTCCCTTCCTACCCCATGTGTTCTGCGTTTCCATGAAAGCCCCCTTTTCCCCTCCTGCTGCACCCTGTGATCGCAGACCTGCAGGTCAGCAGGAGATGCGATTGGTGTCTGGGGTCACTGACCTGCAGGAAGCGGTGACCAACTGCCCTCCTGCTACACACCGCCGTGTGCCCGGCGTCCTGGGCGACCGGCAGCAGGAGTTCCCAGAGTTCCACAGTTCACGCTTAGTCTTTCACCACACAAAAGGAGTCAGTTTGTTCTAAAGGTAATTTAAAGATCAGATTTGCAAGCGTATCACAAAAGCACTTTGGCCCTCCACACTCCAGGCTGCTGTTTAACCTTTCAGCCCTTTTTGCCCAGGAACAGGACCAGACCTTTTCCACGAGGTACAACATCTGCACAAACATCTCTCGCCGTCAGTTCCACCGCGGCGGCGGCTGATGCACGACGAGCGGCCGCGGGCTCGGCCGCCTCACCGAGCACACGGAGCCGGACCGCGCGGGAACGTCTCGCCTCGCCCTCAGCTCCCGCCGCTCACGCGCACTGCTATCCCCGCGCGCCCCCGTTCCCGCTCCCGCGCGGGCCGCACCTCAGGGTGACGCACGCGCCGTTCCCGCTCGGCGCGTGCGCGGCGGTTGGCTCGGCGCCCGCTCCCGCGCCTGCGCGGTCGGGCAGCTCCCGTCCCGTCCTCCCCCCTCCTCCCCACCTCCTTCGGCGCGGCTCGCGCGAGCGGAGCGGCGGGAGTCAGTCAGCGCCCGCGGAGGGAGGCCTGAGCCCGCCACCGCTACAGCCGCCCGCGGGGCGGGGAGGAGGAAAGGAGGCGGCGGCGGCGGCCTCCTCCTCGGTCCCGCCGGCACCATGAGCATCGAGATCCCGCCGGGCCTCACCGAGCTGCTGCAGGGCTACACGGTGGAGGTGCTGCGGCACCGGCCGGCCGACCTGGTGGGCTTCGCCGCCGAGTATTTCACCCGGCTGCGGGATGCCCGCGAGCGGGAGGCGACCGGCGACGGCCGGAGGGTGGTCAGCTTCGACGGGGAGCCCATGCAGACCGAGTCCAACGGCGAGGAGGAGCCCGAGCGCGGCGACGAGGACTCCGACTCCGACTTCGAGCGTGAGTAGCGCCGAGGGGATCCGGCCCTGAGGGGGGGCGGGACGCGGCGCCCCGCGGTGTCCGGCGGCACTGCGCCTGCGGCTGAATGAGCGCGCTGCCAAGCATGTGATGGGCGAGATCATGTGTTGCGGTGCGGTCTCCTCTGCGCTCATCCTGGCGTTTCTGTCCGAAACCGGGGACGGGCCGGGTGGGCGACTTCTCCAGGCGCCGCTAATAATGGGAACAGAAACCCGCTCCTTTTGCACTGCGGCTCTCTGAGGCGCTTCCCCGGTGTGTGCAGTGAAACGCCTCCTGTGCCGCTCTGCCACCGCCTCGTGCGGCACACAGCGCTTAGACCTGGGGCTCTGCTTGAGCTTCAGCGCGAAAAGTTGCTTTAGATTTTGATGAATGGCACTTGTAGGTACACGTATGGTTTTGGACCCGTGATTAGTGAAAACTCGGAGTATTCTCTTTGTTAGAGAACGTCGACAAAGGGGGGAGGGACAGGTGAGAAATGCGTGCGTTCCCCCAGCTGTCAGTCCTCTCATTGCAAGTCTTATGCCCGTGGCTTATAATGTGAGTAAGGGTTTCCTTCTTACTAATGATTTTCTTAATGCCGCTCAATGCGGCTCTGTTTCTTGATCAGCTTGTCTCATTGCAGGGTTTGAGCTATCTCTTGAGAATTAAGTGTGGAGTTTTCCTGGTGAATGCTGACAGCTGCACTCCAGGAAGTTCTCTTAAGTTAAATGTGTTCAGATGAGAAGCCATGTGCCACCACAAATTTTACAGTTGTTCAAGCATAGCTTGATGTGGCGAGGCTTTCTAGTAGAAAAGTGGTTCCTCTGCTTCAGGTTTCTGCTCATCCCCTTTCTGTCCCAGAGGAAAAAATGAGCAAGACCGCTCTGTGTCACTTGTGCTGGTCAGAGCTCTGCAGGCAGGCAGTACTGTCACTGCTGCTGTCTTGCTTCTTATCTGAAAAAACGCTCTGTTCCTTGCTCACAGCTTCAGTGACCCAGGGGAGGAATAGTCCCGTGTTGTACTTGGTCCCTGTGCAGTCAGGGAAACGATTCTTGCATTGTTTAACATTGTGTGGGGCAGTCAACCGTGGCTGTGTGTTTTTCAGGCTTCTGTTATGAATGTTGCCATAGAAGATTTTATTAACTGGAAAACGTTGGAAGTTAAGGGTTCTGGTATCTCTGTCCTACAGGATAGGAAAATACTTCTACATTACTCTGGGAGATCTGTGTATGTATTGACTGCTCAACATCCAACAGATAATCTCTAAAGATAGAGAAAACACATAACTGGAGGAAGTCTCAGATAATCCTGCTGGACAGGCTCTAATGCTGTGCATTTTTTCGTCTTGGACGAGTTAGGGCAGATTGTAATTAATTTCACTTTGTTTTCCTAGGTCAGCTCTCTATATGTACCACTAAGGTGCAAAGATAAGTCAAACAGATATTATAAATGTGCTTCCATGGGTATTTTTAAATATAACAACAAAATCAGTGTCTATGAAGTATGTTGAGGAAATTTAAACCTTGTTTGAATGACTGATCTAGCTGTATTTGCTGAGTGTATGAAAGAGGTCTGCACAAATAACGTGGTTATCTTGTTTCTGCTTCTGGCCTCATGAAATCTGTGTATCTTACTGTTTTTGTGTGCTTAGAGAATGTAGCAGGTAAGAGACATTTTTGCCCCAGGTGTTTTGAGTGCAGATGGTAAAAACAGGAAGAAATAAAATCAGAGTAAACTTTGGGCTCAGTCTGTAAACCACGTGGCAACTGTTTTTGTGTAGCTGTAGGGATATCAGTGGTTCTGTTCCGTTTTTGACATCGTGGTATTCCATCAGTGGAGCCAGTGACACTAAAGAGGAGACCTCCGTTGTCTTAGAGCACTTAAGCATAAATCTGGAGGTGATTTCTTATTCTCCCTGCCTCTTAGAAGTTTTATCTTTGATTTGAGTCCTTGAATATGTGAATAAGAGGACGTTAGGATGTGGTTGTTAAGCACAGTGGAGCGTAAGGAATGTGTGGAAAAATAGTGATAGTGGAGGAAAAAAAAAAAACCAACATCCACCAGAAGTATTTGTGAGGCTGTGGCAGAGTTGATGCATACAAAGCTTTCCTGAGAGCCTTTGTGTTTGGTATGACTGCAGAACTGAAAAGTCGATAGAAACGGGAGAAGATGCGAAGTGGCAGCTCCAGAAATCAGGCCGAGGACATTGCCAAGGATTCTCAGAAAGTGTCATTGACCGTGGTGCTTGCAACAGGCAGTCTCTGAATGGTTGTCCTAAGGCTGTGAAATGAAGGCCACAGAAGTGTTCTTTCTGTTGTTGGAAGCTTAACTGTGGCTTTGCAAATACTTCTGTTGTAAGAAACCTGAGGGAGGTGAGGCGGCTCTCCTTCCTGATGGCTGAGGGAAGATGTTGACCCAGTAACCTTCCATTTTGTCTGCTTGTTTTTCTTGATTTGCTTTAATTAACTACACAAACATACATATTTATTCCTGGAGATCTTAGGCAAAATTAACAGTGGAACTAAAATATTGATCAGTGAGCCTTGGAGAGTCCCTTCCAACTCAAGATATTCTGTGACTGTAACTTGAACAACACAGATGTTATAATTAATTGCAGTTATTTTAGTGCAAGTTCCTTTTTCCATCCACGTGTATCACCGTAACGTTGGAGTGTGCTTTTCAGCTGCTTGCTTAGCAAAAGGTAACACTCATAACACTCATATGTATACATACGTGTATGTATGTATGAAGTAAAACAGTCACTTTGTTGTATGCTCTGTTGTTATGTAGAAAAATGGTGCATATGACTCTGAACGAACAGGTCAGAAGATACTGATGAATCCTGCACTGGACTTCTCAAATAATGCTAAAGAATTTGCTGAATGTCACGTTTAAAACATCCGTAGGATCTGTGAGCAGAAGGGAATCAGGAGGCATGGGAGTGGCTCTTTTGTATCATTGGATCTTGGAAGTGATGCTGAATGAGAGTTCAGTCCATCTTGGAAATGTTTATTTTTTGAATTGCCAACACAAATGCCTGATGTTAATTTTAAACAGTTTTGGATTACTTCTCTTCTTATTGGTGAGCACCGTTTGCTTTCTTGTAATGATCTTGGCTGATGTGTCCTGTGGAATTCCTAGGGAATTACTGTATTACATACATTCTTTGTGATCTTGCACCTATGTGAGTTATCAGTTACCCATAATATGCTATTCTGCTCCCTACCCCCCTCCCTTCCCTCCCCCCCCCCCAAAAAAAACCACCCCAAAACCCCAAACAAGGAAATAGATTGAATGAGAAATCAAAAGAATTGAATAGGGGCAACAGTGGCACTTTTGAAGAGTAGTGTTCAAATTTCCAGACCTCATTCATTTTGCTGGGTCACTGCAGGTGTTCCTGTGAGGTGGGATCACTTGTACAGTGGAAAGGCTTTTGGTTTTTCACAGTATTTCCACTCCTTCGTCTGTAACTGTTAATTTACTGAGCATAAAGCGCAGTAGTGTTGTCCTCGCTCTGAGTTCTTTGTCCTTAACATTACAAGAGCCTTCCTTTGCAGAACATCTTACGGTGTTATGGTGTTGTATGATGCAAACTGCCTCCACAGAATAGCTTCTCTATTAAAAGTCCAGGGAATTCAGGGGACGCTTTGGTAATTACGAGCACTGCATCCTCCCTTCTTCCCTTGAAGTGTGACCAACTCTTGTGTTGATGCAGTTGTGTTTGTAATCAGCTATTCCAGAACTTCAAAGAGGTGGAAGGAAGGTTTTGATTGTGATCTAACTGTTAAGCCATTGAGTTTAATATACAAATAAATGCATGTTCTTTCTTCATAATATGTTTAAAAAGTGTGTGTGTGTAAGCAAGCCTTGCGGTCTGAAGGTGTAGAAGTAACCTTACAGTTCTATTTATTCTTTGGTTTTCATCAATAACATCAAATCAAATATAAAGCAAAGCATTAGCAATGAATTCCTGTTGACAGTGTTTCAAAAGAAATGTTTGTGCATTAAATGCTCTAATTTTTGTTAGGCCCTGGCAGCCCAGTGTCTGGGACTTGTTGAACAGAAAATACCAAGTGAAAGGCTGCCATTGTGCAGCTGCTGCCCTTGGACGTGGCTTTGCTTTTGCAGAGCCAGTTCTAACTGACTTAAATCTGTGGGATTACATAGAGCAACTACTGTTAGTACTAATGGAACTTCACTCCCTCTATTTGTCATGTTCACAAAGAGCAATTTCGAAGATAAACTAAGTATTAAAGAGTTCTCATTCCAGTTTTCTTTAGTACCTTCATCGAAGCTTTATGGATTTTCTTCATTTTGATTGTTAGCTTATTACAGAAGACTTGCTTTTCAGTGTTTGTTCCTAGATCATACTTATTCTATTACAAGATCAGGCTTCTTTTTTTACCCAGGTGATGTAGTTCTAAGAAAGTCACCATTAGTATCTCAGGAGCCCCATAGATAATCTTCAGTATAGATAGAAAATTAATTACAAGATTAATGCAGTATGTCTTTTTTACCTGAGAAAGTGAGAGAGCTGCAGGTACAAAGTGAAAGGATTCAGGTTGCTCACTGAGAAACAGAGCTTTAAAGATGAGCTGCATGAAATTTGCAGTCGTGGCTGCGTACTGCTGAATGTGTGCTAATTTCCATTCGTAAGGAGGAGCTTGTACTTTGGTTTGAAAAGAGAAGTTCCTTGCAATGCTAGTGATATACATGTGTTACATGTACAGTTCTGACATCACCACTGTTATTCCTATATCGTCTCTTGGAAAGCTGTTAGAATCTATTGAGAAAGATCTCCTCTTATCCTAGCTTGCTCTGAGTGCCTTGATGTACTGATGGTGCTTTCCTCAGTGATCTTCGCTTTCTAAAATGTGAGGAATGAGGGTAAGCAGTGCTTTTTTTTCTTTCCCCTTGGTACTTCCTGAAAGAACTCCTGATATTTCCTATGGCTGCGCAGGGAAATAGAATTCTATGTTCAGTTTCTGCTCTTGTATCCTGCT